GCAGTCGAGTTTTATCTTTTTTTATTCCAGCTTTAAGATCTTCTACTTTCTTGTTTTCTTCATCCCGGAGAACATCAATCTTATCGTTGATTCCCTTCCCTAGTTTTCTGACTTCAGTAATGCTCGACTCAACTTTCTTGAGAACATTATTTTTAGAAGTTTTAGCAAACACGTCGATATCGGTTGATTTCTTGTCTAAATATTCTAACTGATTGTTTAAAAGTTTGATTTTATTTTCTATTTCTAGTTTGTTGGTTTTTAATGATTCTCTCAATTCAGGATCAACAGTTTTTAGTTCAGCTCGTTTATGATCAGCATGATCAACAGCAATGCAGTCATAGCAGATAGCTACAGAACAAGCACGACAATAAAACGTTAATTGCATATCTTCATGTTTGTTACATTTGTGTTTAGAGGCCATCTTACATTTATCAACTGTTTAGACGTTTATGTGAATATTTGAACTACTGACCTCTACAAAACGTCCTAGTATTCACAATACAAAAGAATATCACTGTCTGTCATAGCGTCAATTACCCGCCAACAAGAATAGCACTCTGTTAGAGCGTCAATTACTCACAAGAAGTCGTCGATAATATAATATAAACGATATTCTGGGGTCCGATATAATGCATACAAATATGAAAGCATCGTGTCATGTGATGTATTTGAATACGTCTTACGACTTTATCAATGATATGGTATTACGGTTAAGCTAATACTGTTGACTTATGCAATGGCAATATTTGACATATAAGTGATCAATGTTTAGTATGTATAAAACGTGGTTAGAAATTTTACAGTTGTCATTAATTTAAAGATCTGTAACTACCTGTAAAAGATGTCACTACTAGTGTAAAAGCGTGACTGTTTATAACACCCATCAATATTGAATACACAAACCTGGACAATACTGGTGTATATCATTTAATAGTCACCTTAGTGACAAAACACCTACTTAATGACTACTGTCTGATTACTAACTATCTAAACAAACTTATAAATATTATGTATATAAAATGACGACTTTGTTCCTATATTTTCATTTATGTGAACGATATCGTCCTTGCAGTGTTCTTAACTTTGACCCGCTTTCATTTCATAATTCTCATAATTCAATTTGTTGCATTTTTAATATTTCAATAAAGTTACTTGTAGTGACCCAGTGGTAGGTCTGATGGAGAGAGAGAGGGGGGAGGATGAGGGGGAGAGGGGGATGGGATAGCCAGCTAGTCAGAGCAGAGCGAATGTGTATGTGTGTTGGATGGTTGTGGTGGGAGGGGGTAATTTTAAGTACCTTCAATCCAATACAGACAAGGTAAGACGGAGTATGTCGATGACTGTTGTTAACAGATCACATTGACACAGTAAGTATTCTTGTGTCATAACGCAACTCAAGACAACCTATGTAATATTTGTGCTGGATTAACTATCTAAGTTACACCAAATATTTGACTAAAGATTAAGTACGGAAATTTAATCCGATATAAGGTTTAATCTTGATATCTATTGTATCTTAGTTTTACTATAAACCACAGTAGTTTTATGTATTCTATGTCTTTTATTATAATTTTAAGCCCTCCTAACTAAAATACAAGTTAATTTCTATTCTCTCATATAAGACTATGTTTGGGCGTTATAAAACTTTAATTTAAAAATTTGCAAGTAAAAATAAATTGATTACCCCTCGCGGACAAAATTCTCTCAATATTCAAGACAAAAAATCAAATATTGAAAGAGGGGTAATCTTACAATGTTCCCGAAAAACGCCCAAACCTTTTTTTTTTATAGTGTCATTTTTCTTACCCGGTCGCCCAACGATGTAGCTCCCTGCGATCTCATGTCAAACGAAGGATCCAAATAGCGTTGGTAAGCGTTACTCCTCCAGTCGCCCTGCATTTTTATTAGATCTACCGACATGTTACAGCTGAAAGCGAACGTCGCCCCGCCACGTCTAAAACCATGACGTGAATAGTCCCTGGCTGGATATCCTGCAATGGACAACGCCGTTTTGGTCGCTTAATAAATTTGGAATAATTCATGGGTGTGACGGTACCCATGTGTAGGGATGAAAAGGCGGGACCGTTATGGGGAACACTATTTACTTCGAATGCCAGTTGGCAGGCTCTTACGGGACAGAGGGGGGAATTAGGAATGCACGGTATTTGTTATCTTTAGGACTCTTTGCTGATATTGGATAGTTTTTGCCCAACGCACCGTTATTATGCCTAAATTGGCTGTAAAACTAAAATCCGAACGCAAAAGGTATACATACTCAGAATTGAAGGGTTGGTCGGGAACCAAGGTGTTTGATTTCCGAAAAAATGAGAAAAATGCTACTAGACAAGCCGCCCAGAAGGCAAGATCAAACGGGCAAGTAAGATTTAAGACTTTTAGAATATCAAGCACGATTTTGGGAGTAATAGGTAGTTTGGGCTTAACTTTGTCCCCTAACGTACGCCTTGTGCCTTGCAGAAGAGAGGTTACGCGCCAGTTATCTAGGGGATTCTTTAAATTAACCTCCACATTCAACAACTTTATGATATTCAGATACTGTCTATGCGAAAGGTATGCAATATAACGGAGTAGATCGTTTAACCTAATTAGAACGGGATCAATATCAACCATGCACAGTGAACAATAATGTAGATACGATTCAAGGTGATTTGCGTAGGTTCGCTGGGTTGGTTTAGAGAATATATTTCTCCAAAGGATATCCACTCTGGAATCAAGCCGATTTACAAGGTTTGGACTTGATTCTGCAAAAGAAAAGGAAGAGTTTCAGCGAATATGTGCATATGATAATCCGAAATAGATATAAAACTTTCATCACGAACGAATTCGTGTAACCGAGGAATTTTATCAGCTACAGTTTTAAGATCCCCTCTAACATATCTTGCTGAAAGGTGAAAGTTGAACATAACCGAAAGCCAAAACATGTGCCTTAAAGCATGCATAACGATACCGTTATATTTGCAGGTTCCCTTATTTAAACATGCCACCGTAAATGTGTTGTCCGAAAATATAATAACGCGTTTGTTTTGCAAGTTATAGCACCATCGACATATTCCAGGTATCACCGCCATCGTTTCCACCAATGATACATGCATCGGTAACGACGGACACTTACTTGTTGTTTTGGTCACAACAATGATAATTTATTGTACCTTAGTGGCGAACACAAAGTTCCCCAATATGTTACTGCTATATGCTATACTGGATAATACAGAGCTCACCAATATGTTATCGCTATATGCTATAAGGGAGAGTACAGAGCTCACCAATATGTTATGGCTATATGCTATAAGGGAGAGTATAAAGCTCACCAATATGTTACTGTTATATGCTATACTGGATAATACAGAGCTCACCAATATGTTATCGCTATATGCTATAAGGGAGAGTACAGAGCTCACCAATATGTTATGGCTATATGCTATAAGGGAGAGTATAAAGCTCACCAATATGTTACTGTTATATGCTATACTGGATAATACAGAGCTCACCAATATGTTATCGCTATATGCTATAAGGGAGAGTACAGAGCTCACCAATATGTTATCGCTATATGCTAAGGGAGAGTACAGAGCTCACCAATATGTTATCGCTATATGCTATACTGGAGAATACAAAGCTCACCAATATGTTGGCCATTAACCAGTTCCACGTACAATAGTGCAGGTGTGTTGGTGGGGGTGGGGTGATGGGAGACACCACTTCATGTTAACTATGACATGCAATACTATATACGGCACATACTTTAAACCGTCTTGGAATATCGGCGCTATTCTGAGATTGTGAGATATTGGAATATGTTATTAAATGTTACCCTCCTGTAGCGACTGGGTTAATCGAGACGGGAATAAACTATGCAGTTCGCTATCGGTGCAATTTTGTCCGGAAAAAGCCTCAACAGTCAAGTTTGACGAGAGCCCCAACAGTCTCCGCGACACCTCCCTCTCGAACTCTTTCAATCACCAAGCGGAATCACTCTTATCTTATTGATACAGCTGCTTAGTGTCAATGTGATCGGACAAAAACAGACATTATTCAAGAGCTAAATCTGCCCATTGTAGGTCTTTCTTTAGACCTTAAATGTTATTTAGGTTATTAATTAGACATTTATTAACATGGCAAGACTATAATCAACTCTGAATGTCATCAGCTGGCCCCGATTTTAAATAGATTGAAATACGTTTTGTCATTGATGCGGTTACCGTAACCGGAGAACCTGGAGGAAACCCACAAGGTTGGACAGGTGACCCTACTCCTTGTCACGTACAACCGAGGAATCGAAACCACACCAGTTGACTCAATGACAGACCTTATGATAGAGCGCGCACGCTTACCGTTTGGTAATCCCCCCCCCACCTATTATTTAACTATTATAGTGAGAATTGTTAGCTCTTTGTCTCGTTAGCCTGGAGGTCGGGTGCTGCATTGGCCGAGAAAGTTCATCCAAATTTTCCGGCGTGGTTCCCCCTTGTCAGTGATGCAGGACGGAGGGCCTGGCAAGGGCTGCTGTCTAGTCGTTCGGATGGGACGAAAAACCGAGGTCCCGTGTACACATTGGCGTGCACGTAAAAGATCCCTTGACAGTTGGAATTCGATATAAGAGTAGGCCGTAGTGCCGCTGTCCGGGTAAAACTTCCTCTCATGGCACACTGTATGACGTATGCCCGTCTTCATTAGCCCAGGTTAGGTGCAGAACATTAAACCCCATTTCATTCATTTTATTTTGTAATCTAATTAATATAACTGGTCCAGAATATCTTTCAGTTTTATTGGAAGTTACACTGACACAGATATAAAGTTTAATGTCACCATGCTCCGTTCGTCAAAGACATCTTGTAAAAATAGATTTAAAAAAAAATCATTTGGATTGTCTTCATGAGATGTACTTCCGTCATGGGTTGCATTGTCATAGAAATAGAAACACATGGTTGATAAAAAACATTAGGCGTTGTGACAAATCGTGTACAATAGAATATATCATTTTATATACCCCGGGCATGTGGTAGTGTATATAAATTAAAAAAATATAAATCATGGGGTTTACGATGATGCCGTATATTATAAATGCGTCGATTGTAGTTTAAGGCATAACGGTTTCAATAACGCATCTGAGTAAGTTCATCAGTAATTTGGACACTGAAAAACAGTTTCAGATTATATTAGTCAATTGATAGTATCCCAATATTACAACCTGTCGGCGGAACTCTGGTGGATGTGGAAAGTGACAATGAAACTTTTAATTGTAAGTATTATACTAACGGGGCGCAAATTTCCCGTTGTTATAGTGTTGAATTACGGATCAAGGAACATTGTCTAGTCGTTTGGGTGAGACGAAAAACACAGTTTCCGTGTATAATGTTAGCATGCACGTAAACTAACCCTTGACAGAGTAGGTCGTTGCAGCGCTGTCCTGACGAAAGTCGCCCCACAACACACTGCATTTCGGGTGCTCGTCTGCATTAGTCCGATTGATGCAGAACAGTAGTAGGACGTTAAATAGTATTGATCGAGAAAGTTCATTGATATTTTCCGACGTGTTTCCCCTTGTCATTGGTGCAGGACAAGGCCAACTGTCTAGTCGTTCGGATGGGACGAAAAACCGAGGTCGTGTGTATACATTGACATGCACGTAAAAGGTCCCTTTGCAGTTGGATAGTAGGCCATAGTGCCGCTGCCCGGTCAAAATTTCCCTCATTATCTCAGTCGGAGCAGAAAAGTAGGACGTTACACATTATTTCTTTCTTATCTTATTTTACGTTAGATACGTTTAAATTATTCACTGTATTTTACCTACTAATATGTGCACCATGAAAACAATATTCATAACAAATCCCATGTATGTCTCGCTAGTATCTGGGAAAGAACAATTAATTCTAAACATTTGCTAATTATACCTTGGACATTTCCCCAAACGCTTTTGCTTTTAAAAAAAATGTAAACTTGTCTCTTCCTGTGGCTAAAGTGACATAGAAGACGGTTATTAATATTAGGAGAAATGAAATGAGGTTTAACCTCCTACTATTCTCCTCCGACTGAGCTAATGAAGACAGGGATTTTCTAACTTATGGAAGCCACGTAATTCAGATACCAAGTGTATCAATATGCGTCGTGTTTAATTAAAATAATTGTGGTTTTTTTTCAGATTACCATCTGTATGATTAGTAGTGCTTTCATAGCACAGAGCGATGCTGGATCATTGTTGCGACTGAAGAGACAAGGATACGGTTACGGCGGGGGCAGTGGATATGGCCAAGATCCTAACGCAATGCAAGGTGGTTACGGCGGTGGTGGATATGGCCAGGATCCTAACGCCATGCAGAGTGGTTACGGTGGTGGTGGATATGGACAAGACCCAAACGCCATGCAGGGCGGTTACGGCGGTGGAGGATATGGACAAGACCCAAACGCCCAGGGTGGTTATGGCGGTGGTGGATATGGACAAGACCCAAACGCCCAGGGTGGTTATGGCGGTGGTGGATATGGACAAGACCCTAACGCCATGCAGGGTGGATACCAAAGGCAATACTAGGGATATAATATAATAAATTGCCGTCCTATTTAATATAGCCAAACATATAAACTCCTGTGATTATTTATTTGTACGTTAATAAAATAAAATCCTTAATAAATGTATAGAAAAAGAAATTGTCCATGCATAGTTGTCAGGTAATCTGATCTAGATGTATTCACAAAATACATAGACTTGACGCTGTCAGATTTAGTTGATAGCGTTAACTGTATGTTTTTTTAAAAATGCAGTAATGTGAATACATCTACAGCTATGTATATTTATTTAGTGTAAATATTTGAGAGATACTTGATGTCATGTTGCAATAAAATATTAAAATATATAAACTTTAATTGTTAGATCGTAGTGTCTTTCTCTCAAATAAACAACGTTACACATAGAAATATGTTCCTTCTCCTCTACAAATAATCAACGTAATACAATGGAATAGGATGTTCTTTAAAGAGAGAGAGAGAGGGAACGTCTACTGGACAGCAACCATGTCATTTCGGGACTAGCATATGGTTCAATTTTATTTCAAAAATTCGTTCTTTAGTAGTTGGAGCAAACCGGTAGACCCGGAAAAAACCCACGAGGTTGGACATGCGAACCTACTCCTTGCTCCGTGTCACCTACAACCGGGAAATCGAAACCACGCCAAATGACTCAACGACAGACATTATGATACAGCTCGCACGCTAACCATTTAGCCATCCAGCCTCACCCCTGGATCAGAGCCACGGTGGCTAGTTGGTTAAGACGCTGGATCGCTAGCCTGGAGGTCGGGTGTTCGATCCCTGCATTGGCCGAGAAAGTTCATCAAGATTTTCCGACGTGGTTTCCCCTTGTCAGTGGTGCAGAACGGAGGGCCTGACAAGGACAGCTGTCTAGTCCTTCGGATGAGACGAAAAACCGAGGTCCCGTGTATATATTGGAATGCACGTAAAAGATCCCCTGGCAGTTGGAATTCGATATAAAAGTAGGCGATAGTGCCGCTGCCCGGGCACACTGTATGGCGTATGCCCGTCTTCATTAGCCCAGTATAGGAGTAGAACAGTAGGACGTTAAACCCCATTTCATTTCCATTTCACCCCTCTTCGTTAAAATACAGAACAATGAATCAATAAAATGGGATTTAAATTCCAACTGTTCTACACCGATTGATTAATGAAGATGGGCTTACGTCACACACTGTGCTATGGGGGAAATATTGCCTGGTCTATGACCTGCTGTTATTTCGAATTCCAATACGAGATATCAGTTTTTCGCCCGATCCGAACGACTAGACGCTATCCCTGCACCACTGACATTTGTACAGTATAGTAAATGCAAATGAAAGTACCATTCACTAAGTTATATGACCAGTTACCGATACGGTAGCTCAGTAACCAAGATGCCGACTCACAATCCAAGAGATTCCCGGTTACCTTCCGTGTTAGAAGTTCCTTATTAGTTAAACATATACATTATGCAAGAGCTAAATCTACCTATTGCAAGTCTTTATTTAGGTTTAAGTGTGACAAAGTCCTCTATAACTTTTATCAAATTGAAGGATCATTTAGGTTTATATAATATTATATTGCTTTTTCAACTCTTTATATACTTCTGTTAAGACACGAACTGGCTATGATCTAATTAAACATGTAATTAATCTCATATGTCATTTACAAACTACATATGATCTGTGTACAAGCGCCACATGACTTCAACAGCAAGCGCACTGGTCAGTAAGCATACCATGACGTGATAAAGGGACAATTGCATGTATGATCACGAGTCTTATCTATTGTCGGAGAGTATATATATATAGGAATTTGCGGACAGTTAGACGTGAGAGAGGAGGAGACATGCAAATTTGTGACATGTCAGAAGATCTTTGTGTATCTGACATATACAAAATTCTGATTCAGAAATCTGTTTGGTTTGGGAGATGCGAAAACTAGATAGAGATGTGAAATTTCGATTTAAAAATACTGAAATGGGGTTTAACCAAATGGGCTAATGTACACGGTATAAAAATATTAACTGAACTCCTCAAACTTTGAAAGATATTGTCGGTCATATATTGATTGTGTTGGTTTTAGTAAGTTATATTTATATATACGGCAGAGTAAATATGACTAATATACTTATAATATCATACACGCCACACCATATAGCAATTACACACTACACTGTCGGTGTCCATTTAAATACACGCACGTGTTATCATATACCCAAGTGTTATCATATACCTACGTGTTATCATATACCCACGTGTTATCATATCCCAAGTGTTATCATATACCCACGTGTTATCATATCCCAAGTGTTATCACATAATACCCATGTGTTATCATATACCCACGTGTTATCATATTAATATTAAAACAGCTCACCATTTTATAAACATGAAAATTTGTTTTCTTTTTTTTTTTTTAAAAACACGTCCTTGACCTTATGCTTGCATCAATAAGCAAAATATTAATTTTAGATACAATTGTTAAAATATTCAATTTAAAAAACTTTGAAATTTGATTAATTCATATGAATCCACATGACATGGCGTTTACGGGATTCCCCCCCTCCCCCCAAAAAAATAAATGAATTTATTGATGTAAATAGCACTTCCTGTAAGGCGGTAAAACGACAGAAATGGAAATACAGAAACAGGTATGTACTTTTTGATGTATACAATCACGTTTATCTACACATCATGTGGTATATCGCAATAATAATAATAATAATGGAATTGTATAGCGCTTTGTATCCAACAGTTTGCTCACTGGCGCTGAGTTAGTCTCTCACATTTATGCCAGATTCCCATCATCTGCACTAAATAAGTGCAAGGATTTGAATGTACACAATGATTTTGCATCCTTAATATATGATGGTAGTCTGTTCCACAGTTTAGGAGCAGCAACAGAAAAGCTTCTGTCTCCACATTTTACATAGACCACTGAACACTTTATTTGCAAGAACTGTCACTTCTTTTAATATTAAAATTATTTATGTGGAGTGTACTCAATATTTATGAATACAGAACCCAGTGAAAATCGAAGCATGATGACATTTGTTGTCAGATGTAACCAAAACGCTTGTTTCAAAATGTTGTTAAGATTATTATTCAGTTATGTAAAAAAGAAAATAAGTATTTTTGGAGATTGGTATCGAATTTGTAATCTTAATATATTTGTGCGGCATATTCTTTTCTGTGGGGTACCATTTGCATCGCATTGTTTTGGGGTGTGGGTTTTTTTGGGTTTTTTTTTTTGGGGGGGGGGGTTGTTTTGTTTTTTGTTTCAAGTAATCGCTCGGTTAGGCCACATTCAGTAGATCTAGCGTGGACTATTAATATATAATCTAACAAAAGAATGTTGATCATGATATATTGCAAAATATTTTACTATAAAACCCTTTTAAATACATCCAATGTGTAATTGTCAGTTATTTCTATGCTTTCAAAGAGAGAACTAAGAAGTCATACAAATGTTATCAATGTGTCTTCAATGCAATGTGTCAATAGCTCACCTGATCCATATTCACTATAGCCTAATTATAAGTTTAAGAGGACCGCACTACACGGTAAACAAAACCGACAAATCATTAATGCAGATGATGCCTGTGATGGTGCTCCATACTAAAAGTTTAAAAGTACTTCCTCGAAAATAATGAAACATATAAGAAAACAAAATATCTTAATTATATAGACTCAGTGTGCTAGAACAAAAATAGTTTTAAAAATATGAAGTCTTGATGGCTGTAGTGTATAATATGCAAGGATCTCTTTGATTTCCCATGTTGTGTTGTTAAACATGTGAGAGCGCAGTGCGGGGTGATACAAAATATTCTTACATCAATATATACTATTCAAAAAAAGTAGGGGATATTTGATTTTGGGGGCATAATACTAAAATATGCAAATGACTACGAAAAAAGTCACTATAGAACCTAACAGAAGAAACATTTCCAGTTACATGTGACGCCCAAACGCACCAATAGCTACCGCATGGAATGCAGGTGATGCTTGGGATCATCATGGGGGTCCAACCCAAGATTTGCACGACTCTGACTTTGAATGTTACAGTCATTGTGGCATTGAATTCCAGGGTGGAAACATCAGTTTAATTGTTTTAGTGACCAGAAAACAAATTTTGATATGCGTCGGCTTACCCAAAATAAAAGGTTACGTGCCCTTGGCATGCTACAGATCGGCACAACACAGGCGGTTGTGGCGCGGACGATGAATGTTTCTCAGTCTGTCATAAGCAGGCTATGGTCCAGATACCGTGATACACAATCTGTACAGGACAGACCACGCTCAGGTCGACCAAGGGCGACAACTCAAGCCCAGGATCGATTTATCCGTACCTTGGCCTTGAGAAATTGTGTCATCACAGCAAATCAGATCAGCGCTCGTCTTCAAACAGACACTGGTGTGAGAGTGAGTGGCCAGACGATTCGGAATCGACTGCATAGGGGTCACCTTCGCGCCCGACGTCCTCGCGTGATCCCTTGTTTGAGAGATCATCACATTCAGGCAAGACGTCGTTGGTGTAGGGATCGTCAACACTGGGATAATCGACGCTGGAGCAATGTGATGTTTTCAGATGAGTCAAGGTTCACTGTTGATTTTTTGGACAGACGTAGGAGGGTGTGGCGTCGTCGAAACGAGCGCTTCCAAGACGTTAACGTCATCAGACATGATCGATTTGGGGGTGGTTCTGTTATGGTGTGGGGAGGCATCACTGTTGCTGGAAGAACGGCTTTACATGTTGTTGCAGGGCGTGTTACAGGCCAGTACTACCGGGACAACATCTTGGCAGTCCATGTTGTGCCGTTCGCACGACGTCATGGCCGCCGTTTCATCTTCCAGGATGACAACGCAAGATGTCACAGGGCCAGGATCGTTACAGGTTACCTCCAACAACAGAACATCACCACATTACCTTGGCCAGCACTGAGTCCCGACCTCTCCCCCATCGAGCATGTCTGGGACATGCTTGGACAGAGGTTACGTCAACGTCAACAACGTCCTGCCAATGTCCAAGAACTTGCTGCTGCGTGCAACAGGAATGGGACAATCTGGACCAAAATGACCTTAGACGTCTCATTAGGAGTATGCCACGTCGGATCAATGCTTGTTTGGCAAACAGAGGAGGATTTACCCGTTACTGACTTGGTTGTGATGCTGTGGTAACTTTGCTGTTTGACCCCGGGTATCATTTTACCCTTATAATGGTCAGTCTGTGCCTTACTTAGTCTAACGATCATTTGGAATAAATCGATGAATGTGAACTTCATTTCATTTTGTCATTTGTTTCTTCGTCAGTTTCATTAGGTGACTTTAATAACACTTAAAAATCAAATATCCCCTACTTTTTTTGAATAGTATATTCTCACGTAAATTTAATTTCTCATAATTTCCAATATAGTTATCTTTTCCAACTTTTCAAATTCTTCTGTCTTCAGATTAAAAAGGAGCCACGGTGGCTAATTGTGTAAGACTGGAGGTCGCGTGTTCGATCCCTGCATTGGCCGAGAAAGTTCATTGGGATTTGTCGACGTGTTTTCCCCTTGTCAGTTGTGCAGAACGGAGGGTCTGACAAAAAGACAGTTGTCTAGTCGTTCGGATGGGACGAATGACCTAGGTCCCGTGTATACTTTGGAATGCACGTAAAAGATCCCTTGGCAGTTGGAATTTGATATAAAAGTAGTGCATAGTGCCGCTGCCCGGGAAAAATTTTCCCTCATAGCACATTGTATGGCGTATGTCCGTCTTCCTTAGCCAAGTTAGGCAGAACAGTAGGATGTTAAACCCCATTTATTTTTATTTCAGATTAAAGAGATAAAAATACACGGTTAGTTGTTGAATCTTATTCACCTTTAGATTGTGGACTTTCCGTATCTTTTGTTGTTGAGCTACCAGTGGGTAATATATGTCTTTTGTTGTACAAGTTAAATTTGTAGTTTTATAAAATTATAAATATAAAAAATGTGACATGTATAAGATTCTAAAATAAGGCGTGGCTGACAATTTAAAAAGGTTTGTATTTTCTAGTACGTTACGTTGATATTCCTGACCTATGTTGATATATTAATACAGAATGGATAAATTCTGTAAATATCTTTACGTGATGTTCCGTCTGTGAAACTGGTATATAAGATGACTGTAGAACTGTTGTACTTCACAATCCAGTTTCTGGTTCAGGCTGAAGAAGATTCACAGTAAATACAATATGAAGACTTTTCTCGTAAGTTTATAATGTTGTTTAGTTTCGACCACATATTATATCTGGTACCGTTTAACTCGTTCTGTGCATGTTTGGATCACCATGGTTACTACATGGATATGGCTTCGTGTGATAATTTTGTTTTGGCAACGGCGTAAGTAAGACATCTTCGGAGTCGATTCAGGGGATGCACAAGAATGTTACGCGGTATTTTTCAGTGTGAGTCCACCTTGTCAGTAGTGCAGGACTTTGGGCTTGGCAAGGAACAATGGCTAGCCGTTCGAATAAAACAATAATACCATGAAAATTTCAATACGATGACAGGTTGTCTGAATCGGCAGTGTTCGGATGCCATATATCACTTAGAGCAAACGGCATGGTGCATGCGCGTCTTCATTAACCTTGTTTGTACAGACAGGTAGGGCAATAAACCCATTCCATTTCATTTTGACAGTTTATTCTTATTTTGTTTACTAATTTTTAGCGTTTTCCTAGATTTTATCAGGATTACCCCCCTTATTATTGTTAAATGCATTGATTTCAACTGGTGGATTATTACCATTCAGTAGGTGACATTACATCTTTTTCGTAGATCATTTTGGATGAAGCCTCTATCAAAACAGGCCCGGGGGCTGCACATCGCAGTGGGCGCTAACGACTGGTCCTGGATCAATTCGCTTAATATGACACGTGTTATTTATTTCGTGCCATGCAGTTTGTCCAATGCAGTTTGTTTTGTCAGATTGTGTGTCTTATATCGGTCTTGTGTTGCGTGTAGTGTGGTTCTCCTGTACTTGCTATCTGATTCAAAATAATTTAAATTGTAACATGGATGTGAAATCTTCCTTTGTTCTTCTCGTTGAATAAGCAGATTGTTTTCCCTCTAGTAGATTGAGTGGAGCTTAACCGTGCAATAACTAGACATGTTCAAGGTTATTGCACACATTTGCTGGTTTACACTAGTTTTAGTAGAAATCATATAGAGAAGTGGGGTGGGTTTTCTGTGCAATAACAATAAGCATGTTGAGCAGTTGTCAATGTTACAAGTCATTCATAGCACGCTTCATTCGTTAACAGGTTTAACCCCTCGGCCTTCAGCCTCTGGTTAAACCTGTTAACTCATGAAAGCCGTGCTATAAATATTACTTAATTCATTGTTCCACTTCAGATTGTGGCGTGTGTGGTTGTTTGTGCTGCAGCACTGAACGATGTCAAAGTTCGTGAGAAGAGACAAGCTAATAATTACTATCAGAGGTATCAGGAAGAACGTCAGGCATACGCTGACCAGCAACGACAGATGTACGCTGACCAACAACGACAGATGTACGACGAGCAACAAGCAGCCTACCAGGAATATGAACAACAACAGAGAGATGACGCCGAGAGACGATTCGAGGAACAAATGGATGCTCGATATGGTCGAGGTAAACGTGAAGCTGTCGATAACACCACTGAAACAGTTTCCACTCAAGAGAACCACGATAGTTTAGTCCGACAGAAGAGACAAGCGTATGGTTATAATGTAGGATACGGTGGTTATGGAGTACCAGCTGATCCAGCTATGGTGTATGCTCAGAGATTTGGTAGTGGATACAGTCAATCATATGGTGGTTATGGTGGGGGATATTATCCTAATTCACCATATGATGGAAGAATCTACGGTTATGGACGATAAACAATCAAACTACCTCTTCCTATAGAACGGACTCTCTTTTTACGATCGAACTACGTCTTCATTATAGGACTGATGTGTTTATAAGCGCTCATCTTCTTGATATAGAACAGATCTTGATATAGAACTGATGTTTGATAGAGAACCGATCATGTTTTTCAATGTTACGTTATAGAAATAAATCAGATTAACAATACATGGGTTTTCTCTTGTTTTTAAATTTAATCAAGCCAGAATGAAACGGCTGGTATAATCGTGTTTATCTCTTTATGTTAAGCTAGATTCCCAGAATTCGGGCTACGATTGAGATCGTGTTATCATATATTGAGGTCCGACTTGACAATCGTGTTGATCGCATCGAAACGTATCCGAACGCATCCGCACGTAGCAGATCGTGCACTCAATACGGTCAATCCTAACGTAACGAATACATCTTAGATTGTCAATATATGCTTGATGTGTCCCTACTTGTAGTCAACCAGACAATATGCCCCTGATCGAGTTAGTTCCGCGGTGGTTCAGTTAGTAAAACGCTGGCTCTTCGCTCCCAGTAATAGTCAAGAAGATTCCTCGGGTTGTCAGTGGTGCAGGACGGGACCCGTCTACACATACACGTTTACGTAAAGAGATGGCTGAATGGCCGCATTCTGGGCAAACTGCCCTCACTGCACTGTGTATGAATTAGTCCAGTCGATGCAGAAAGATAGGACGTTAAATACCATTTCAATTCATTTGACCTCATTTCTATATATAAAGTAGTGAAACAAAGTAGTGCAGCTTCACGGTTGTTCTAATATTTCTTCCAACATTCAGGTTGATTTTGATAATGTTTGGAATACTCTAAACCTATGTGTAAGTGTAATACTTAGCAAAACCAACAAAGTACACAATGCGTTATAAAAAAAACAGTTTGTGACATTGACAATTTCCGTTTCATATTTTCGCACAATATAGTGCGGGTGTTATCAATGGCATAGTTGTGATTGTTCACCAGCACATTGAAACGTCATAAATATTTGTATATGTATAGCTTTTATATATATATGGCATACTGGGAAATGAAACGGGGTTTAACGTCCTATTGTTTAAATGAAATGAAAATGAAATGATATAGGGGTTAACGTCTTACTGTTCTGCTCCGACTGGGCTAACGGAGACGGGCTACGTCATTTAGTGTGCTATAGGGGCATTTTTGCCCGGACAGCGGCGCTACGGCCTATTCTTATATCGAATTCCAACTGACAAGGGATCTTTTACGTGCACGCCAACGTGTACTCGTGTTACACTTTTCGTTATTTGAATCGGTTCTAGATAAAAACACTGGTTTAAACTTCAAATCCAACCAACTTACATGACCCTTGTTCTAGGCTTAACCCAAGGCACTCATAGCCTTCACCTAATAATCTCCTTTTAATTCCTGCTTATATCCCCATTCTAGACAAAGGGTCTCACAAGATTACACATATGGCTATTGCCAGATTAAGCCTTCAGTACAGATTGCTTTACAAGACAGTAGACATTACATAACCCGGGCCAGCTATAACTTTATATTATGGTGATGTTTATTGGGTGCCATAAGGATATTTAAATCAATTCTATTTTCATGTGTCAAGATAGCACTCGGGACCTCGGGTTTTCGTCCCATTCGAACAACTATACGTTGTTCCCTCGCCAGGATCACGCCAGAAAATTCCGATGAACTTTCTTGGCCAACGCAGGGATCGAACACGGAACCTCCAGGTTCGCGAACCAACGCCTTACTCGCTGAATCACCGTAATCAAGTGACGAGCCCCGGGGAAGAACGAATTAAGTCACTTTTTCAACGAACCCCAGTTAATAGCGCCATCTGGTAGCAATTTGTATAAGCTTTCTGTAGAACAATCAATTGCAGGTAAAAACGATCGGAGTCACATCTAACCAAGGCCTATCTGAAATGGCCTCCCAGACAAATACGTCCATCGTACCCTTTATTTGACCGTAATTTGGCTGAAAAGTGGAAGTCAGTTGTTGTACTGGTAATTATGATTCGTATTAAACGTCATTTTGAAGTTGTAATTAAACCCACTCGTTGTTCTGTTCGCGTCAAGCATTCTCGTCCAAAAGTCTGTTTTGCCTTTTATGCGAAAAGACAAAAATGTGACTTAGATCGTTCTTCCCCTGGACTCTTCAAGTAGAATCTAAATTACATATTTCGTGTTTTCTAGTTTGTAAAGGACGCTTAACTTAAACCTGTGTGAAACTTGATATGAATGAATGAATAATTGACTAACCAAATATTTTTTAAATCTTGAGTCTTATGCTAGGTTCACATTGTCGTGCGATGCGTTACGGTCTGGTACGTGCAGATACGTTCGGGTACGTTTCGATATGATAAACACGATTCCTGCCTGCGACAAACTTAAATGTATAATAAGACCTGATAGGATCACCGCAATTACTCTACGATTAAAACCACGATTGCGAATCGTGGTAGTGGGAACCTAGCATTACTAAATATGGACCCAGCACGACAAAGATAACCCAGAGTGGCGTGGTAACGCGTTGTCAATAGGAACATTGAAAGTTTATACAGAAATCAGGGCATGAAAGACAAATAAATTGACGAGGGTCATGTAATGTAACCAGTGAAGACATCAAAATCAACAACATAAAAATATCATTAAAAGGGTGCAATGTCACATCGTACTTTGGACCACTCAAGTAGTTCGACGAACAAATCGGATTGGAAATCAGTTTACATACCCTGATATTACATTATTATGTCCCGTATTACCCATTTCGGGTGGTGTGTGTGGGGCTGGGGGCTGGGGGGGGGGTCGAATGGTTAGCGTGTGCGCGTAGGTCTACCATTGAGTCAGCTGGCGTGGTTTGGATTCCCCGGGTCCTCCCATTTCCTCCCACTGCTAAAGAACCCGACGTGCAAGCGAATTATTGATATAAAAATGGAACATATTTTACTCCCGAAATGACCTACTTTGTGTCGAGTGGACGTTAAACCTCCCATGTGCATCTCGCTCTCTCTCTCTCTCTCTCTCTCTCTCTCTCTCTCAGAACAGTATATCAAGTAACTACCTTTTCAATAAGGTGTAGGAATAGGCAAGTGCCGTACATGAGACATGGTATGCTTAGTCTTGTAAGCCGCGGTTGCCCGGTGAGTAAGGTGTCGGCTTGTTAACATGGAGGCCCGAGGTTTCATCCTAGTGTTGATCGATAAACTCCTTCAGGATTTTCCGGCGTGGTTTCCCGTTTGTCTTTGGTGCAGAACAGTCGTTCGGATAATAAGAAAACAAAGCCCCGTGTACAGCTTGGGGCACGTAACAGAACTATTGATAGTCTGAATCTATTTGTTGTCCGGAAAGCTAAAACTCATTTCATTGCATTCTTGATTAGTCTTTCTAGTGGAGCTAATATGGGAAATCACATCGTATTCAGACTGTATGCCTGTTTACGGGGTCCTGTTTCTCGAAATCTTAGATTTTTCAATTTTGATTGGCTAAGCACTAAAATGAATCTAATATTATCCAATCAAATTACTAAAATTTGGATTTTATCACAGTTAAAATTTCGTAAAACAGACCCCTGACCCTTTATCATCCATTTGCAAAATAAAGTATCGTTACTTGATATCAAAACCATAATAATAATAATAATAATAATTATATTAATATATTTCTTTTATTTTCTATAACTACAAAGTCTATAAATTCTCAATGATTTACGTATATACAATAAATCAAGTTATTAGATATCTATCTAAAATAGTTTTAATACATTCATGGTCCATAGCCATAACCACCTCCATAGGCAGCATTTGGGTCCATGGCTTGACCATAACCGCCGTAGGCTGCACCTGCATTCATCGCACCATAACTACTTCCGTATCTCATAGCATCCATAGCCGCTGGATCAGCTGCCTGACCGTATCCACCATACCCGCCACCATAACCTCCCAATCCGGAGCCTCCATAACCATAAGCTTGTCGTTTCTGTCGTACGAGATCCTCCTCCTCGCCGGTTGCCCGTTTGACCCGATCACCGTACATAGCGTCCATTTCTTCTTGGAACCGTTTTTCGGCCTCGTCGCGCTGTTGTTGTTCATATTCCTGCATGGCGGCTTCACGTTCCTCTTCCATCTGGCGCTGTTGGTCCTGGTAAGCCTGTTGCTCCTGCTGATATCGATCCCAATAGGAGTTACCTTGTCTCTTCTGGCGAACCAACTCTTCCTCGCCGTTACTCTTGACTTCTTCTAGTGCTGCAGCACATGCTACTATACACATAAATACCTGAAAATATATAAAACTCCAATATTATACAATGGAATCGATCGGGGAATCATGATAAAACTAAATTCTGACAGATACTTGTGCAATTCCGAGTCACAAAACAATGCCATAGTCAATACAACTGGAATTACCTGTATACAACGCAGATCCTTACAAATGCCGATTATAACACTTAGCCATCGATGTAAACTGTGCAACTAAAAATACCTGTATTCAACGTAGATCGTGGTAGAATTCTAGTAACAATATGTTTTGAGGGCCTAATAACGTGTCGATAATATCAATTAACCACGCAACTAAAAATAAGCCACACGAAAAGGGTTATTGAGTGTCATACAAAGGTAATCGTTCGGATGGGACGAAAACCCGAGGTCTCGTGTATAGTTTGGAATTCGACAGAAGCATAGGCCGTAGTGCCGCTGTCTCTTATAGCACGCTGTATGGCGCATGCCCATCTTCATTCGCCCAGTCGGTGCAGAACAGTAGGACGTTAAACTCCACTTCATTTCAGTCCTAAGAACGCCGTATAAGTGTTATGAAAGACTAAACGATAGATTACGAACAAACCCAGAAGACTTACTGCTAAGGTTCTCATGTTAACGTACTGTTGATGTTTATCACCGTAGAACAGAAACTTAGATGAATGATATTGGAGTCTTTCTGCTCCCTTATATACCGTTCCATGTTTAATAAAATCACGGTAGCACCGTGGGTAGTGCACATATTTACAGAAATTGCATCTGTAAATTTAGAAATTTCTACCACACCTTAAGTTTCGACGTCCCGCAAGACGCAAGACGGAAATTCACCCCGCAAAAAATAACTCACTATGTTTGTAAAAACTAAAATTAGCATTTATAAAAATAATTTAGCGGTTAATGAAAACAAAAGATGCGGAAAGTCTGAGGTGTAAAGATAGATTAATATGAGTAATTGTTGTTATATGTAAATATTATCATCTACGTGATATTAAACTTCTAGAGGTATATAATAAGGGACTGTGGTGTGGTCTAGTCAGACCGCTAAATACATTAAACCCATGTCTAGACTGCAGCTATACAAATGTTAAGAGAGAGAGGAGGAACGGGGATTAATATCAAATCGACCACTACACGGTCTAGTAAAACGGTTAAACATACATTATGCAAGAGCTAAATCTGCCTATTGCAGGTCTTTCTTTAGTCGTCGAGTTTCTAACCAGTCATTTTCTGGAAAGCTGATTAAATTTTAAACTTTGATCAGCCTAATCATTGAGTTTATCATTGTTCGAGAAGACCATAAAATGTGATATTCTGGAACGTTGACTTGTACTTAATCTTTGACTAAATCGCCCAAATATTTTGTCATCTCGGGGGGGGGGGGGTAGTTGAAGGGAGGATTAAGCGCATGCCTATGCAATGAAAATGTATTGAATGTTACAGAAATGATTATTTTTTTTTATTAAATTCCGACACATTGCACTTATATTTTGCAACGAAAGCAACCAATTCACATTCACCGTCAATTCTGTTGGAAAATGATTTCTGAAATATTAAACATTCTGTATACTATAAAAATAATAATTATGTATACTTTACTCCTTCGTCATATATCCAACCGTTACAGCTAATTCAAAATAAAGCTGCCCGAATAGTGTCCCGGACAAACAGGAGTATACATATAACACCAGTGCTCAAAGTCTTACATTGGCTTCCAATCCCATTCCGTATTGAGTTTAAAATATTATCATTGACATACCTCTGTTGAAACTGTGACAATGCTCCAAGATATCTTCAAGACCTAATTCAACCTTACAGGCCATCAAGATCTTTAAGATCAAGTGATCAAAATCTTTTGGAAATTCCAAAAGTCACTACCCTATTTGGACAAAGAGCCTTCTCATTTTCTGCCCCGATGCTGTGGAACAAACTTTCCCAACAAACCAAATCCAGCTCAAACAATGCAGTATTTAAGAAAAACCTTAAAACTGAACTTTTTAATCATGCTTATAAATAGTGTGTAAATAGTGTTTAAATTGCTTTATTCATGTAATGATTTTATTCGTATTTGCTAATTAACTTTTAAAACTTATATATATTTTAAATTTTGAGTAATTTTAAGCCTTGTGTGTTTTTTAAATAATTGTTTAAATCGTATATGTTTTTTAAAATAATTATAAATTTAATATATCTCAAATTTAAAATGTATTTTTAAAGTATTTATCTTGATGTAAAACCAGCGCCACTGAGCAGCTATACTAGCTGGAACGTGTGCGCTTTATAAATGTATTAAATTATTATTATTATTATTATAAAATGAATAAACTACAAGATACAAATATTTTTTAGAAATGTCAAAGTACCTTTTAATAAAAGAAATTGCAAAAAAAGGGAACGGGTGGGAACTAAAGACCCCCCCCCCCCCGTCCCTCTAACCAACCAACCAACCAACTAACCACATACAACATGCAACTACCATCCGCTTACCTCCCAAATACACACATCACACAGATCAAGGACTTATACCATATTATAGGCAGATTTAACATATTATAGATATAGATTGACACGCTCATTTCGGGACTAACATATGGTATATCGTTCCTGTCAATAATGGGGTCGCTTCATTAGCCCGATTAGTCCAGATGGGTCGGAATTTAAAGCCCATTTAATTTTATTTCTGTAGCAGAAACAAGAGCATACGGAAAGAAAACCCACTTCTTGACACATACAAGCCTGGGTTCTAAACCGCGACATTTTATTTTGACTCAATGACAGAAAGTTGGGTCGTCGAGATGTGCGCGTTAGATCATAAGACCTGTCATTGAGTAGAGTGACGTTGTTTTGGTTTCGAGCTTGTACGGGACAAGAAGTAGTGTCGTTTGACCATCTTCGTGGGTTTCTCCGGGTCCTCCCGTTTCCTCCCACTGCTAAAGACACCTGCGCGCAAGCGAATTATTGTAATAAGATTGCAACCAATATATTCCCGAAGTGTCATACTTTGAGTGCACTTTAAACCCCTTCTTTATTAAAATGTCAGGCGGGTGGAATAGTTACTTGATCTCAAAACAATACTAATATCAATACATTTTTAAAAGTTCCCATAAATATAAAAGTCTGCATATATTTAAGCTTGAATCAATGGCAGAGTTTGCGACTTGCGACGCACGCAGTCGACCACACGGACACCGACATGTTGAATTCTACCCTCTATTTACTAACACCTTTCTGTTGATGTTAGGTCAATACGAACAACATGTCGGTTAAGAGTATTTATTTGTTATTCCTGTTTAACCTGTCGGTAAACAACTTTAAAATCCGTGAATTCTATACACACTTTGGATTTACTAATGTATTTTGTGTTGAGTTGTTTCGATGCTTAGAAATGGAATAAAATGTAATGGGGTTTAACGTCCTACTGTTCTGCTCCGACTGGGCTAACGAAGACGGGCATACGCCATTCAGTGTGCTATAAGGGATATTTTACCCGGGCACCGGCACCACGGCCTACTCTTATATCGAATTCCAACTGCCAAGGGATCTTTTACGTGCACTCCAATGTGTACATGGGACCTCGGTTTTTCGTCCCATCCGAACGACTAGACAGTTGTCCTTGTCAGGCCCTCTGTCCTGCATCACTGACAAGGGGAAACCACGCCGGAAAATCCCAATGAACTTTCTCGGCGAACGCAGGGATTGAACACGTGACCTCCAGGCTAGCGAGCCAGCGTCTTACCTACCCACTTAGCCACCATGGCTCCGTTTGACAGCTTAGACCTACCATCAGTGTCTCTTTATTCCGCGGTGCGATATCTAACCTAATCGGTGTCGCCAAATTTGACGTAAAATTAGATCTACAAGTGTGCGGGGTGTTGCTCAATGAATCGTCCGGTTTCATGTTTAAGATTGACCATGCTCGATTGTTTAAATACATGTTTAAATTTCATGTACGACATAGCCTATCATAACTCACACTAGTATTATACAACGTTTGGGACATATTCCCTTCTTTGTTGAGTTGTTTGCCTTATTGTCAAGTCTGTATCTACGCCCGGGACTGTACAGCACAGTGACGCTTACAGATAGCCCCTGGATCCATTCACTTGATCTGATATATCCGTTTGTTGTTTGTGGTTTCTGTATATTTTGTCTTGTCCGTGGATGAGTTTTGCGTAATTGTTTGTGTGTAGTGTGCCCCCCCCCCCCCCGTGCATTTACTGTTAAAGGGCGTATGGCTCCATTCTTTAGAGTCTTAAAATAGACAAAAATGGGTCTAAACATGCACGTAATATAAGTTTATATAAAGAGATTTATATTCAATTTAAAAAAAAAGAAATTATTGTAATTTCCAATCAATTATGTTAAGTGGAAAATGCAAACAATCCGAATTGAACGACAGTCGTTTGCGCCTGCTCAGTACATTCTAGACTGACTTGTTTTCATTTATGAATCAGCCATTTTTAATTTCTTCCACATTGTCTTCTGTTCTGTGTTTTGTTTTCTTCATGAACATGGCGCTGGAAACCATTGATTTAAAAAGAGGGTTAGACACCATTATGTCTGTAGAATACTTTAGTATACTGATTGTAAGATGTTAATTGTGTCTTAAATACTGGATATTATAATCCTCTATTGTCACAGTGGGGAGGAAACAGGAGGACCCGGAGAGAACCCACGAGGTTGGACAGGCGACCCTAATCTTTGTCACGTACAACTGGGGATTCGAAACCATGCCAGTTGGCTCAATGACAGGCCTTATGATACAGCACACACGTGCTAACCATTCGGCCATCCAACCCCCCTTTATTTTAACAGTACACGATGTTTCTAGAATTCAGCACCATGGTCCGTTTGGTAGCAAATTGTCTGCTTGACAACTCAAGAATAAAAAGACATACATTGTCAATAAAATTTATTTCAGTTATATATTAAGAGAATTATTATTTACAATTTGATGAGACAAATAGTTTGAGTGTTTATCGTCCATAGATTCTACCATCATATGGTGAATTAGGATAATATCCCCCACCATAACCACCATATGACTGACTGTATCCACTACCAAATCTCTGAGCATACACCATAGCTGGATCAGCTGGTACTCCATAACCACCGTATCCTACATTATAACCATACGCTTGTCGCTTCTGTCGTACTAAACTATCCTGGTTAACTTGAGTAGACACTGTTTCAGTGGTGTTATCGACAGCTTCACGTTTACCTCGACCATATCGAGCATCCATTTGTTCTTCGAATCGTCTCTCGGCGTCATCTCTCTGTTGTTGTTCATATTCCTGGTAGGCTGCTTGTTGCTCGTCGTACATCTGTCGTTGTTGGTCAGCGTACATCTGTTGTTGCTGGTCAGCGTATGCCTGACGTTCTTCCTGATATCTTTGATAGTAATTATTAGCTTGTCTCTTCTGTCGGACTAAACTGTCTGTTTCAGTGTTGTTATCAACAGCTTCACGTTTACCTCGACCGTATCGAGCATCCATTTGTTCTTCGAATCGTCTCTCGGCGTCATCTCTCTGTTGTTGTTCATATTCCTGATATGCTGCTTGTTGCTCGTCGTACATCTGCCGTTGTTGGTCAGCGTATGCCTGACGTTCTTCCTGATATCTCTGATAGTAATTATTAGCTTGTCTCTTCTCACGAACGTTAAAATCGTTCAGTGCTGCAGCACAAACAACCACACACGCCACAATCTGAAATGAAACAATGAATTAATTTAAAATAAACATATTGTGGGGAGTAGGCAGGAACCTGGATTAGAATGAAATGAAACAGGTTTGAACGTACTACTTGTAGGAAGTGTGATATGACGGACATTTCGCCAGGGCAGCGGCGTCATCGCCTGCTTCTAATCTAATTCTGTCTACTGACACAAGATCTAATGCACCGCACATGTATTATAATATATTTATAATTTTAAAAATCCCGAGCAAACTTTCACGGCCAACACCTGCGATCACAGGGTTAGTGAACTAGTACCTAACTCACTGAGCGATCGTAGCACCGCCTTTGCTAAACCAACATTATCATCCCATATGTTACATGTCTAGTGTCCGTAGTCAGTTAAAGATATTGGACGTAATACGGTATTTAGATCTTGAAATAAAGCATATTTGAATTAGTCAAAACTTACGAGAAAGGCCTTCATACTGTATTTACTGCGAATCTTCTTCAGACTGGACCAGAAAATGGATTGTGAAGTACAACAGTTCTACAGTCATCTTATATACCAGTTTCACAAACGGAACATCACGTAAAGATATTTACAGAATTTATCCATTCTGTATTAAGATATTAACCAAGGTCAGGAATATCAACGTAACGTACTAGAAAATACCAACTTTTTAAAATTACCAGCCACGCCTTATTTTAAAATCTTACATATCGCACATTTTTTTATATTTATAATTTTACAAACTTCAAATTTAACTTTTATAACAATAGCCACAAATTGTCAGCCACACCTCATTTTAAAATCTTTAACATCTCACATTTTTTTATATTTATAATTTCATAAAGCCACAAATTTAACTTTTACAACAATAGACATATTATTACCTACTGGTGGTCAACCACAAAAGATGAGGAAAGTCCAAAATCTAAAGGTGAATAAGATTCAACAACTAACTGAGTATTTTTATCTCTTGGCATGTAGAAGAAATAGTTTTGTGGGAATAAAGAAGGATTGGAATGCCAAGAAGGGACAATGTTCTTTAAAGGTGCAATCAATGAATCCGGATTTTATAATTACCGGTATCTATATCTTCTTACTGTCTTTGTGTAAATACCGTCTTTCTGTGAAATTCTAATTGGATTAGTGCAATTGAAACAACTTGTTTATACGAGAATATAGTTATTGATGAAAGAATATGTTCGGAAATGACAATGAATTGTTTATGTAAGCCCAGAAGTTTTCGAGTTACATACCAGGCAGTCTGTGGATTTTATCTAACTTAAAGCCCGCCTGCCATGTACGCGTTTCCGCCGGCGAGAAAATCGGTTTAATGCAAATGTAATTGGACCGGCTCCATGTGCGTAAAAAAACAAGTTGCGGGATTTTTTTTGCTCGCGTGAAGTGTGCGCATGTGTGCCCAGCCGGATGTTTACGTCCTGACAATTGTTAGAAACTGTGGGTTTTGTTTGCTGTGTTGTACAAACACGTGTCCAGTCTACTCGATATAGACAATGGCTTATAGAACCACGGAACAACTCAACGTGTCATGTGACTGTCACTTACTAAACGTCAAAGGAAGTAGAATATAAATTTTAATCCATTGAATAGAGGGGGTGAGGGTCGTGGTTTAAAGTGTCGGGCTTCGAGCTCTAACTGGCCGGTCACATCTGGCTTGTGGTCGTAGTTTCGATCCCTAATGTGAACATATTTGACTTGACTGGGTTTACTCTGGGTACTCCGGTTTGCTCCCACAGGAAGGACCTCTACTCGTGACCTTAGTATACTCTTTAAACAAAGTAGGGGATATTGAAATGCAAATACCTATGCCGGTTGTGATATGATAAATAGTCATGGACACTTGACATGCTTTGAGAGTATGTTCACAGAAGAAGAACTTATCGCCCCAACAGAGCCACTGAGCTAAATGTGCGACACGCAATAGAGTCATACACGTGGTAGGGGTTCATTGTCAAATTTGACACTTCAAGGAAAGGTTGATGAAAACTGCCGCTTGCTGGTTTATCCTATCCATGTTTGCTTTCCTAATGGTTCTTGCATAAGATTTACTGTTTAGTGTATCTTTGCTTTAATGGGTTACGTTTAATTTGATCGGGAGACGTGTTCGTCGACGTCAACGTCAACCGACAACAATGCAAAAATTGCCCGTGTCACTGCAAGAGAAGTGGGTCAAATTGCCCCAAATCGTGATTGGACGGTTGATTAGGAGCATGCCACGACGAATTGCTGAATGTCTGAGGATTGGTGGAGCAATTACTCTTTATCAAGACAAAAATCAAAAACTTTATTTTAACTTTTGACAGCGTATCTCTTTGCGAGTGAAATGGGGCCGTCAGAAAAGCCGCCCATATGAACTGTTTATGTTCATGTGTAGGCAAGTGGCCTGTTATTAAAATACACTGGTTACCTCTAATAAAATCAGCAGTGCATTTCCGCAGTTTTGTATTGTTTCTGAATATCCCCTACTTTTTTTGAAGAGTATAAAATAAAATAAGATAACTTGTCTGCGATATCACCATCGATGGAAGCGGAAGTTAAACACTAATAGGAGAAGATGAAATCCAGTGGAAAGGAAGTGTTTGTTAACCAGACTTAAATCATTTATAGTCGTTTACATGTATTTGTTATAAATTTTAATGCTAACGATGCTTAAAACTGTGCATACGGGCATGCTGAATATTGACTATGATAATGTATTGAGTGACATATTGGGCATTGGACGAAGTAAATAAATAGACCTTCCTAATTTTAATATAGGATAGGATATAATAATAATTATTGCGATACATAACATGTGGACAGACACAAAGCCTGACTTCCAAGCGGACACAAAAATGGATGTAAATTTCAACAATGCACGATATGCTGAACCCTGTCCATAAACAGATCTAGATATGTTGAAGCAGAGTTAGCTAATGTAAACCCTGTCCACAAACAGAGCTAGATATGCTGAACCCTGTCCATAAACAGAGCTAGATATGCTGAACCCTGTCCACAAGTAGGGCTAGATGGTTTGAAATGGATTATGTGCACAACGAGGAGCTGTAAATTATTTGAAAAACGGTTTATTCTGAGTACGAAATGAGTCTGGAGGAGACTATAGACCAACACCTCCATCTAGGGATATTGTTTGAATGTATTTGCAGTTTGCTTAACAAATACTACATTGTTTATGCATTTTACCATTAGAATGGACTGAAAGGTCAAAGGATGGCGCCTTAGCTATAATTTAAATGAAGATAAAATTTATACTCTATAGAACAGGTGATGATATATTGATTACAATCTGTGGAGGTCGTATCATCAGGTAAGATCTGTTGTTACTAGAATCTGTTGTATCATCATTGGTTAAAGTCTGTTGTTACTAGAATCTGTGGAAGTTGTATCATCATTGGGTAAGTTCTGTTGTTACTACAATCTGTGGAGGTTGTATCATCTGGTAAATTCTGTTGTTACTAGAACCCGTGGAGGTTGTATTATCATTGGGTAAGGTCTGTAGTTACTAGAATCTGTGGAGGATGTATCATCATTGGGTAAATTCTGTTGTTACTAGAATCTGTGGAGGTTGTATCATCATTGGGTAAGGCCTGTCATAACTAAATCCTGTTATAATTACTAGATCCAGTGAAGGTTGTATCACGGTTTGGTAATTTACGTTGCTATTCCTATTTTCAATCTGTGGAACTGTGGAAGTTAAATCCACACCCAGTTATAAAGCAGCAGAGACACCCTCACAATAGGTATGGGATCAGTTGACATGATACCAAAATAATACCCTCGCCTACAGTCATATAAACCCAGACAATACGATTTATTTCAATAAATGTACGTTGTTCTAGTATGTCTTGGACAGGTTCACAGCCAGAATGTGCCTGGACCTGGGCGAGAAAGCAACCTGGTTTCCCTTTCTGTGTTGTGTCGACCTGAACGATACCTCAGGATTCCGTGTACACATTGGCGTGCAAGTAAAATATACCTGGCAGTTTGGGTTCCAAGAAGATTAGGTGGACACGCTTTCCTTCATTGCACACTGTATAGTGCAAAGCCGCATTCATTAGTCCCAATGGAAAAGAACAACAAGACGTTAAACCCCATTTCATTTCATTTTCTGCTTAACGAAAATTTGAGACAAATAAAGTAGAGAAATCCAAATATTGTCAACCATAATTATTTGTGTAAAAGAAGAAGGTCAACAAGACCTGTTTTATAACATGACCTGCTTGATAACAAGATAGGTTTTATAACCAAATCGGGCTTATAATAAGTTCAGTTTTATAATAAGTTCGGTTTTATAATAAGATCAGGTTTATAACATGTACCGTTTTTATAATAAGATCAGGTTTATAACATGAACAGTTTTATAATAAGATCAGGTTTATAACATGAACAGTTTTATAATAAGATCAGGTTTATAACAAGAACAGTTTTATAATAAGATCAGGTTTATAACAAGAACAGTTTTATAATAAGATCAGGTTTATAACAAGAACAGTTTTATAATAAGATCAGGTTTATAACATGTACCGTTTTTATAATAAGATCAGGTTTATAACATGAACAGTTTTATAATAAGATCAGGTTTATAACATGTACCGTTTTATAATAAGATCAGGTTTATAACATGTACCGTTTTATAATAAGATCAGGTTTATAACAAGAACTGTTTTATAATAAGATCAGGTTTATAACATGAACAGTTTTATAATAAGATCAGGTTTATAACAAGAACAGTTTTATAATAAGATCAGGTTTATAACAAGAACAGTTTTATAATAAGATCAGGTTTATAACAAGAACAGTTTTATAATAAGATCAGGTTTATAACATGAACAGTTTTATTAGAAGAATGTCTATAGATTTTACAGGACAAAATATAGAAAGTAATTTCCAGTTCCCCCGTGTTATTAATTGCAGTTTGGGATTCGTTTATTAGTTTTTTGTCATGTTGCCTCGCCTGATGAATCCAGTATTATGTGTTTTAGAGCCAGACATAAAACTAGGCTGCAAAAAAAAAAGAAAATAAAGTAAAAATAAAGATGTAATCTAGTTACTGTCGTCTTATAGTAATTACAGTTATGTCGAAAAAATTGGTTCTGAACTATTTTGCATTAAATTTCATGTTTTTATATTTAACTTTCTTCCTTTTATCGGTGAACACAAAATATCTGTATTTTTAGGCCAGCTATCAAAATCTGCCTTAGGGCAAGCAGAGCCTTAATCCGGTACTGAATGAACCCACTTGGTTTATTTCAATGTCCGAAACATCCACATAGAGGTTATCATATTCCAAACATTATCAAAGTCAACTGAATTCTGTTTAATAAGACGGGGTGGGGGGGGGCTATATAAAATCAAACCATACCCCGAATAGAGGCAACTCGTCTGCTTGACAATTCAGGAAGGAATGAATAAGAGATATCCACGTATTGTCAATCAAATTTATTTCTAAAACATAACATTGTAAAAAACAAAATCAGTTCTATATCAAGAGGTAGTTTGATGTTTTATCGTCCATAACTGTAGATTCTTCCATCATATGGTGAATTAGATGAATATCCCCCACCATAACCACCATATGATTGACT